TGTATCAAGTTCCATGAAGGACCTCAGAGTTGTTTGGGACATATTCTTTTCCCTTTTCCATCTCAGAAAACACCAAGACAGACAGGCTAGGACCCAACAGGAATGGACGAAAGTATAGATGAGGGACTACAGGCATCCTGAAAACTGAGAGCAGAGAGAACTCTTTATTCAGACCCCACTGGAAAATCCCTATTCCTCCTTTATGACCTGTGGAGGCCTTTTCTGATATACCACTCAGTCCTCACCACCTGTGCTTCTCAAACAATGCACTAACTCTAATTACTATTCACAAGTCTATTCCCATTTAACTCTGCAGCAGAGGATGGAAACGTCTTTAGGGATAAAAAGCATTTAGTTGAGTCAGGAAGTCTGGGCGTGTATATTTTGAGTGCCAGGCAGAAGATTTGATATGCGTATTTAGCCTTGGGAACTATGCTGTGGGGCCTGGAGAATCCCAAAGCATAGAGGGCTCATTAAGGAGCGGTCTGTTTGGAGTTTTTTACCCTCCCTGAGGATAAGTGGCATAAATATTAAAGGAAAATATTAAAAGAAAGCTCCAGTTCCATATTTCACACAGAGTCCAGCACCAGGTAAGGATGGATGTGAGGGGTGCAGAGTCAGAGGTCTGAGACATGACAGTCCCTATACATGGGCCTACTCTGCCTGATACTCCCCATATACCCTCATCTCTGTATAAATAGGAGTCTGCCTTCCTCCACTTCATTTCCCACCCATCTGGCCCTTCCGTCTTGGGCATCAGCTTTTCTCTATGACCTTGTTCTGCTCTGTTCATTAATTTCTCTGTCTGTCTCTGTCTTTCTTCCTGCTTTTATGTCTTTTGAGTGAGTTCATCGGTTGAGGTATAAGAGATATGACAGGTAAAGACTGTTGCTATGAGACTGAGACAGTTGGCTCTTCTCTGCATCCCAGTATACAAGTTTAATTCTTGGAATGAGGATGTTGGATAAAAGAATGTTAAGAGATAGATGAATAGGGGTTACTAATTGTAGGGTTTGGGAAAATGGGTTATTTGAAGGTTCAGAGGAATCAGAGAATTGGAGGAATATGTTGGAACTGGAATGAGAGCTGTGATGCTCTCATTGGGGAGAGAGAGTAAGGTAGCTACCGCTAAGATCCTGACATCCTGACATCTCCCTGGTGCAGCATGAGTCCACATCTTGGGATGGATAGGGAGGAGGCTCATAGTGGACTTGGAGGCCCTATTTTTCTATTCCTGGTCCTTCTATCTCTTCTCTCTCCATCCTTTCCTGCCCACTATTATGTATCACATTCTGGTCACTGATTATGTAACAAAGACTAGAAAGAGGGGACCTACTGAGAGATACCAGATATTAGACATCAAGTCCAGGTGAAGATGGATGGAGGAGTGAAAAAAGTGATAGCAAAGCCCCCAACCCTTTCAGATGGAATATATCTGAAGATGGAATATACTCTCTTACCCAATTTCATACCACAAACCAGTTGACATGAAATCAGCTAGCTTCTGCTTGATTTGATCATAGGGTCAGGAAACTCACTCCCTTCCAAGACAGTCCATCCTAACTATAGATGTTCTCAATAATGAGCTGGTTACAGGAAACTGAAGCCTCTTTTCCTGTTGCAGCTTCCAATTGCACCCCATGGGATGGCTCAGAATAAACCTTGACTGTCTTTCACATGAGAACCTTTCAGAGAGTTGGGCCTCAGCTTCCATATTCCTCCAAATTCTGGAAGACAAACAGCTAGTTGTCTCAGTTCTCCCCCACATAACATGGTCTATAGGCTTTTCTTCATCACTTTTCAACTTCTTCACATTTCTCTTAAGATGTGTCTCCAGAAGTGAAAATATTGCTCCATATGTAGTTTGGTTACTACAAAGGACAGGTCCATGCCACCTCCCATGAACTTCTAAGACTCTTTCTCAGTGATGTGGCCATAAATTTACTTTTTAGAAATTTCCTTATATTTTAAATTCTTAGCTATATTCCAATGAATTGTTGCCTCATCCAAGCTTGGTATAGTTGGATTTTTTTTTTTTTTCAGTCTAAGGGACAGGAGAGAAGATTTTACATTTTTTCTGTAAAGTTTCTCTGTTGGCATCATCCTCTTGTTCTACCCAATTGAGACTCTTGAGACAGATTTAATTAATTAATTATTTTTTTGGAAATTGATTTTCAACTGGTAAATGAAATCTTTCTCACTGTGTACACAAGATATTGTGAAGGTGGAACTCAGGTAATTAACTGGTCCATGGAAATGCAATCTTGAATTTTCTGGTGGGCAAAAACTTAAACGATCTGCATCCACTTTATTCTTCCTTCTACCCCTACCCCCATCGCGGGTGATGACCTGTACCCCTCTGCTGCATTTGGCACCGTGGGCACCCCCTTCTCCTCCCAGTGGTTCTAGCTTCTGGGTTTGTGTCATCAAGCTCTCCTGCCTCTGAAGATGCTCTTTCTCAGGACTTTCTCTTGAGGGCGAAAGTGAACCTGCTAAATGTGCACGCTCATAGGGAGCATCTTTGGATCCTCTGTTCTCTTGCTAAGCCGCCCCTGAGAGTCCTCTTTCATTCTGTGCTTTAATTTTCCACCAAATGCTGGTGCTGCCTAAATTGTGTGTCCATTAAAAAGTCGCCCCACCCCCAGCTCCAAGACAATATGTCTAACTCTCCAATGGCCATATCCTCAAGAATCGCCTGTGTTTAATCTATATATGTGTGCAATATAATTGTTTCTGTAATTTTCTGTCCCACACAAGGTCTTCCACTTCCTTCTACTAGGTTCTCTCTTGCTGTGTGGTGTTCCTGTCAACCTAGCTTCCCAGGTCGGAAACCCCAGCCTATCCTGTCTTCTATTTTTCTCTCCTTCTACATCCTTCACTTAACAGATTCTTTTGATTACTTTTTCTATACCACTGTTTAATCTCTTCTCTTTGATGTTGCTTGAAACACTAGATTACTTAGACCTTTCTCCAATAATTTCCAACTGGTCCTCCTCCAATGCCTTCTGTTCACTTCTACCCAAGTAGTAAACTCGTCACCTCCACTCACTGACATAGGGTTGGGTTCTACCTCGTGCAACCCTGTAGGACAGAGCAGAACTGCACCTGTGGGTTTCTGAAACTGTAATTTTTTACAGAAGTAGGAAGCCTCATCTTCCTACTGAGGAGTGGCTGGTGGTTTTGAACTACTAATTTTGTGGTTTGCTGAGCAACGAGTATCCTACTAAACCACCACAGCTTCTGGAAAACCCATACTCAGCACCATAGAGCCAATTCTGACACATAGTGGCTCTATAGGACAGGGTAGGCATGTTTTCAAATCCTTAGCCCAAATGTACTGTTTCTCTCCTTAAACTTATCAATGACCCACTGCCACCTAACATGTATAACATGCTCTTAGCAAGTTATACACTACCCTTTATAGTCTTTTCCTTTCTGTCTGCCAGGGCCATCTTCCATCTCCTGCTAACCTATTCTCAGACTGTGTTAGTGTGGTCCCTGGCTATACAGCATTCTCCTTTGCTTATGATCTTTGTACCTGTTCCTCTCTGCCTGTCATACCCTCCCTTGAACTTTTTGGTTGATTAATTCCTGCTCATCCTAAGAGTCACATCAAACTTCTTCTTATTGTGGAAATCCGAGCCTCAGACACTTGCCCAGGTGGCCTTCCTATGAGCTCCATGATACTCCCTGCCTATTCCTTTCACAGAATGAATCACTTGACTGCCATTCATTGTTTACCTCCCTGTGGGCACTCCTTGAGAGCAGAGATGTTAAATTCTGTATTCCCAGTGCTTACACAGAGCCATGAGTTCAGAACATATTTCGGCCACAGTGATAAACACATTGGAATATAGTTTGAAGCGCTATTTCTCTGTTTCTCAAACTAGACTGTTGAGGATTGGGAATATACCTTAATTGTCTTTGCAGCTCCAGGTCCTAATGGAAGACATGTTAAGTTGAAGGTTCTACCATGTTTGTTGACAACTCAATGAATGACAACGGGGGTGGGTGGGAGGGCAGCGGGAGGACTTAGTGGCAATTAGCATTATTAAAAGTATGCTATGTGTTAGTCACAGGTCACAGCGTTAAGGGCTTCAAATAGACCATGTATTATTTCTCACAAGACTGCTCCCTGGTACATATGATACCTATATTACAGGTAGAAAATTGAGAACCAAGGAGATTAAACTACTTGAACAGGGTCATGTTTAATTACCAATATTTGAACTCAAGTCTAATTCTACCTACTATGTTCCTCCACTATACCATATCACCTCCTATAGAATTATGAACAAGGGAATCAGTCTCTGACTTTGAAAAGATTAACTAACTCAATCGGCAGGCTTTTCTGCCTATTTTAATGTTCAGTTCTAGAGAAAAAGGGCTTCCAAGGAGCAGATCGCCATTGGGATGGGTAGTCGTTAATCTTGTGGTCTGCAGCCCAGTGCCTATCCACTACCCCACCAGGGCTGTGCAAAACATTCCAAGGACTTTTCATGTTTTTCTGGAGCCATTTTCTCTTCCACAATTTCTTATCCCCCCTATCTATTACTCTATAGCTTCCAGAAGTTTAAAACACCAAAAGAAAAAATCCTGAGTGTTCGTTCTGAGGAGAACTGGAAGAGAGCATGGAATAGTCACCACCCCACCCAGTGGACAAAATGAGAGCAGCAGAATATCAAGCAAGGCCTTGAGTGATCGGTAGCTCCTGAGGAGAGGAAAGCATTGTGGCCGTGCTGGGGCTGACAGGGAGAAGGAAACGAGACCGGGGTGCTGGAGAAAATAGTTTGTATCTGAGAAGACAAAAATCCCAAGATTTTTGTTTCATCCTCAAAGTGAACCTCACCCAAGATAACCTGTCTCTGCCGTGGTGTTAATCTCAGCTAACATCCCAAGAACCATTGGTCTTTCCAGCTGCTGAATGGACACCGTGCTCGAATATACACTGTGAGGAGGGCCACTAGACGATCCACTTCTTTTCCGGCAGCTAAAGGAGAATGCAGGACTTCCCCCGGGACAATTACAGCTCTGTGTCTGAATTCATCCTTCTGGGCTTTTCCAGAGATGCCCAAATTAATGTAATTCTCTTCAATGTATTCCTCTTCCTCTACCTCTGTACACTCCTGGGTAACGGACTTATCGTCACATTGATTCACCTGGACTCTCGCCTCCACACACCCATGTACTTCTTCCTCAGTGTCCTCTCCATGCTGGACATGAGTTACGTCACCACTACTGTGCCTCAGATGTTGGTGCATCTGCTCTGCCAGAAGAAAACTATCTCTTATGCTGGCTGCGTGGCCCAGATGTGCATTTTCTTGGTCTTGGGCATTACTGAGGGCTGGCTTTTCTCTGTCATGTCCTACGACAGATATGTAGCCATCTGCCACCCACTCAGGTACAAAGTTATCATGAGCCCATGGCTATGCGGGGCAATGGTGGTCTTTTGTGGGCTGTGGGGCATCAGCTGTTCCCTAGTCTACACTGTCTTCACCATGCGCCTGCCCTATTGTGGCTCAAATGAAATCAACCACTTCTTCTGTGAGGTTCCTGCTGTCTTGAAGCTGGCTTGTGCAGACACCACTCTCAATGACCGGATCGATTTTATCCTGGGCTTTATCCTCCTCCTGATACCTCTCTCCTTCATTCTGGTCTCTTACGTTCGAATCTTTACCACCATTTTGAAAATCCGCTCAACTCAGGGTCGGCTTAAAGCCTTTTCCACCTGTGCATCCCATATCACAGTGGTCACCATGTTCTGTGGACCTGCCATGTTCATGTACATGAACCCTGGAACCAATGCCTCTCCAGAAAGGGACAAGAAATTAGCCCTGTTTTATAATGTCATTTCCGCCTTTCTCAATCCAATCATCTACAGCCTCAGAAACAAAGATGTGAAGAGGGCTTTCCTAAAGGTAACAGGCTGGGGCAGGAGCACTGAGTGAGCTACTGGAGCACTAAACCACCATGAAATCTGAAACTACGGGCTCTGTGGCCTTTCCACTCCCTTCCCTGCCACCATCCAATGAACAGACAACAGTAATTGACCGGTGTTTAAAATGAGAGGATCTTGAAAGGGTCTGGGGTGGGGCCTGGCCATGGTTCCAGGAGCGAGGCAATCCTCAAACACTAAGAGTTTCAAGTCTGGGTGGGTTGCAAGGGCAGCAATTCAAGTCTGATTCACCTGTTGCTTGAAGGGCCAGCAAAAGGTCGGGCAGAATAAAAATATTATGAACTTGTGCAGATTGAGTGACTGAATACATGAATGTTGAGCTCATTAAATCAACTTAAGATAGAAAGGACAAGGTGACTCCCAGGGTCCCAAATCAGTGACCAATGATACCCCAGTTAGAACTATGAACAGGTCTAAAGAAATAATCTCACGAGAAGGAAAGGAGACTTTAGGAATAAACCAAAAAGTGAAAATCACTGTCGGTGAGTCAATTCCAACTCACATCAACCCTCTCGGACAGGGTAGAACTGTTTATGGGTTTCTGAGACTGTAATTTCTTATGGGAGTAGAAAGCCTTGTCTTTCTCCCAGGAAGCAGCTTGTGGTTTCAAACTGCTGACCTGGAAGTTTAGCAGCATCACTATGCCAGCAGGACTCCTGACTTTGGGAATAGAAATTGGCTAATGGCCATCCAACACTTCCCAAGGGACCGTGGGTGTGAACCATCTGATTCTTGCAGAGTGAGCCCCTGCTGTAGGTAATAGTTATTTTGCGAGGTCTCTTAGTACATTGATTAAATAGCCATACCATTAAAGGGTCTCCGATGCATATTCTTGCAATTATTTCCTCATCTGTAAAATGGAGATGATAATAATAACAACAACAACAACAGCAAATCGCCATCTTGTAGAATTGTTGTGAGATGTCAATAAGAGTAAATTCCTTAAGATGGTGCTTAACACGTTTCATTTGCTGCTCTTCCTATTATACTCTATTTCTGTCTTAAAACCACCATTACCATACAGACAGCTGAGACCATTTCAACTCAGAGCAAGGACCCTTTCTGATCACATTAACAAGTGATTGGCATTTGTTTGCTCATTAGTGTGGTATGGATTTACTACTCCTGTCAGCAAGAAGCTTATAGACTGAGTCTGCCAGAGCTCTGAACCACTGCAGACAGAGACTCTGCTGATAGCCAGTTCTTCTCAAAGATCCTTCATCAGTATTTCCACGTGGGAGAGCTTTGATAAATGTATGTTTAAATAAGAACTGAGTGATACTAATGTTGACAGGAGTTTTGATTCAAGAGGATGCTAAGAGGAATGGGAGGATCTTAAGATCATAATGGTGCTGGGGTCTCTTATCAATGTAGAAGACCTCATCCATGGCTAGGGCCCCTTAGTATCACTGGCACCACGGATGATGTACAGACAAGTTACCCC